TTTCCATTTTTAGAAACTAAATGGAAACTTGTCTTTCTGTAAATTCTGTAGGAGTCTGTCGGAAACTAAAGATTTAGAAGCGTCTTGTTTAGTGACCCAGTCTGCAAAAGCCTGGATAATACAACAGCACGTATAAATAGACTCTGAGGCCCTGGGCCGGTAAACTGGTTGCTCTTTATTGTTCGGGGGAGAGCTCCACCTGTCATTCCACTCTGAATAAAGCCAGCATCTGGCATAAAGCCGCGCTTGTTCTTTGAAAGGGAAAAAGAAAAACCTGAATACCTTGAAAAGAGTCGTCTTCTCCTTTAAAGGCGTGGTGGGCGGGGGGAGGAGGTGGTGGTGGTGGGGGAGTTGGGTTTCAGTGCCACCCCCCCTTTTTTTTTCTTTTTTTTCTGGTCTCACAAACTGAGGCCATCCCAGTCCCAGTCCCAGTCCCAGACCCAGGGCTGCTCGGTAGGCCTAACCTCCAGCTTTCCAGGCCCCACTATGAGCATATAGCCGCCACCCATGAAGAACCAGAGCGCCGCACGCCACCGGGGAACTTCCACAGCTCGTCCACACCTCTCTCAAAGGTCACTGGCCTCTGAGAGGAGACCGATCCGGTTTGGCTTCAGATTCTCAATGAGAGTGAATTCGGATGAGCGTTTCACTCTGCTGAAGAGATGGCAAACGTACTCAGGCTCTATACGGGAATACTAACAGGTAAGATTCACTTTTTGTTTGACGCCTTGAATCATGTTTGACCACATTCCCAGTATTTTAGTCGGGAAACCTGGAGAGACGTGCCAGTTACACATCTAAGTCTAATAAAAGTTATGGGAATAGTCGCTTGCTTTGATTGTTTGGGGACAAAAAACTGAGTTTCCCCTTCTAAAGAAGACATGTCTGAGTTTCATTGCTGGTTAATGATTGAATGAGGAGTCCATACACGGGCAATTTATCCCCTGTGATTAGAAACGAGTGCCAAAACAGTGCTCAGTGCACGTGATATTTACCAACTCCATCATATCTGTGCATCCACACAGGCTGTGGTGAATAATCACGTAGTCTGAGTCTCCCGGGGTTAATACCACAACCTGTTTTTGCAGTAATAACCCTGCACGCAGCCACCGATTGGCCGAAATGTTTGTGTGCGTCGCGCAAGTTGTCGTATTCTTTGTGTCTAAATGTTTGTTTTGTTTTTGTTTTGTTTCTCGCCTCAGCTCTGGCCTTATGCAAATACTGTCGGGCAGAGTGGAATTCCACCGAGTCTGCCAATCGAACTGTGTCCCTGTGTCGTCTCCATGGCAACCACAACAACTGCACAGGTAGATATGGACAGGAGGCGTGTGTGTGGGGGGGGGGGGATCTCTCATTGGAGTCATAAAGGTAGTGGATCAATGGCCAGAGCACAGGTTGAAGAATATGTGCGTAAACACACTGCAGGCATAGAAATATTCATAAAAGTCATGATTAAATGATGATATTGGATGCTATAAAAAAATTTATTCAAACTTTGGAGAAGTCCACTTCTTTGTATCCTCTGGCAGAGCTCAGCCTTTCCTCCCCGAACTGCTTCTTGACAGCCCTACCTTTTTTGGAGAGAATTTCTGATGAGGCCTGGGCCAACAGGAGATGGATGAGCTCTGAGATCAGGGGCATTTGTTTATTAAGGAGATCACATTTAGCTACTGGTCATTTTCTCATAATAGTGTCTTTTTTCTTCTTTCTTTAAAGGAAAAACTTGATGTAGTATACCTTACTGCTGGCTAAATATGCTTTAAGAAATTATGTATTAGAGAAAAAAATGCTATTTTGTGCCTGTAATTCTGTGATTCCTGTCATAAAATAGAAGCACTTGATTTTTTTACAGCATTTTACTACTAATAGTGTGTCATTTTATAATTTTGGTCGTTTGAAGAAGACACACCAGTTAATGTCTTGTAATGGGATGCTTTTTAATGCTTGTATGGTTCATACGTCTGCGTTAACGTGGCTCATCAAACAAAGAAACACATTCCTCTGAAAACAGAGAGGTGGAAAAGGATCAAACGTTCAAATAGAGATCAGAAATCACAGGATTAGTCCCAGGAAGTCAGAAAAAACATAAAGAGGCTGCAACAATATCAGCTTTCTGATCAAAGCCAGAGCCATTTTCCCCCTTAAGCCAACAACAGGCATTTTAGGCTAAACTGCTAGCTTCATAGCAAGTTCAAACAGCCCTTTTGCTGTTCATATTGACTAACCAAGTTTGCAAATTCTTGCCCCTCTCAGAGTGGCTGGTTAGAGTTTGTAAGGGGAGATCTTCCTCTCTGCACAGAGGTCGCGGCAGCAGGCCGCTTCTCGAGTTTCAGCGAACAAATGCGGCTCCTCGCCGATGTCACCTGCACAGGAGTGTTGTTTTACAAGCTCCTTTTCAAACACAATTTCATCGAGGTCGCCTGTAAAGATAGCGGCGGCTTTGCAAGCCGGAGGTCAGAGGTTCAGCATCTGCCGGGGGGTGCGATAAAAAAGAAGACAGGGGCGCCGAAAAGGGGGTGGGAATCCCAACAATCTGTTTAATTTAGTAAAGAAGTGCGCTAATTGAGACACGTGGCTAATGGGGGCTTTGATGACATCAGGCTTTTCCTGGCAGTGACCGTAAGGCTTCCTCTCGGGATCACGTTGCAAACACTATTTTTAAAGCCGGTCCCGGCAGAGGGGGTACGTTTTTTTAAAAGAGAGGGTCACAGAAATAGAAATCAGGGGGAAAATGCGCATTTTTTTCTGTGGAGGGTGACCAACTTTCATGGGAGTCACATCATGATTGAGCAGGCATCAGCAAAAATCTGATTAAATCTGATGAAAATCTGATGAAAACTGTCAATAGTCAATTATATGGTGGTGAAATCGAGCAATTTTTACAGTAAAATATGGTGGTCAGATAAAATCTGTGTCCTACTATAACCGGTGCCTGTCGCACCTGCCTGATGCTGCAAAATGTTGCAATCTGAAAGTTGATTAAGATTGCAGCTATGGACCAGTTTTTCTCCTTTTTCTAAAGACTTGTTGCAGAGAAAAATCTGGAGATTCTATTTCTGGGAAAGTTTCTAATTTAGATCATTTATAAATTGCCTTTTTGAACTTCTTCCCCAAAGAGAGGCTGTTTTTTCTGGACATAAACTACATGTTACTTAGCATTCATATTCATTAATGATCTTTTCTGAAACTAACTGGAATTCTTTCTGTTGGATTTCTCTCGGGGACGCGACAGAGACGGGACAGTGGCATGGCCACTTCTCCACGTGTCCGAAGGAGCTGTCGTATTATTGTGTCCACGGAGAGTGTCGTTACATTAAGGAGCAGAAAGCACCGTCCTGCAGGTGAGAGGGGGCCGGGGAAGGAGGCTGATTTATGGATTAGTGGCGTCAGAACCGATGGGAAAGGATCTCTGGAGGAGTTTCATTCTTTTCCTGCATGTCAGTGGATTCTTAAGATCTATTGGCCACACAAAAACTTAGCTTAGCACCAGTCTTACAAGAAGCAATGAGATTTTAGGCCCCGTTGACCAACAGTCTGAGCAAAAGAGATGCAATCTTTCTAATGGTGTGGTCACAATGTTTTGGCTCTCTGTGTGAAAAACAGACACTAGGAAGAACTTTTCTCTTTGCACAGGTGCCAGAGCGGTTACATCGGTTCCAGGTGTGAATATGTGGACCTGGACTGGCAGATAGGAGAGAGGAGACAAATCATAATAGGCTGTGTCATTGCAGGGCTGGTACTCCTCATGGTTCTCATCGTTTTCATCTGCATGTGTCCACAGTAAGACCATTTTTATCATTTTCATTCTGTTGAAAAATGCATTTTTAATCGAACAGTCTGATATTTTTATCCAGCGCCAGCTGAATATATTCAGTTTCAGATTTTTTTTAACAGTTATTCTGTTGTAGTTTTAGTAGCTTTTGCAGTTCCCCTCAGGGAGCTAAAAAAACAAACATATTTGTAACAACTGAGGACACATTCATTGGTCACCTTACTTGCTCTGACAAGACCCGACCTGCTGGCGGGTTTTTTTTTATCAGCCTGTCTTAAGATGTTAGATTTCAAGGCCTGTTGTCAAACCACCATTGTCAGGACCAAGCAGACTAAAGATCACCTCACAGCCCAAAATGCAACATAATCATATTTTATATAGCGTCATATTATCAACAGAGCAAAACATTAGGGGTAATAGCCTTTTTTAATTATGTAGCACATTTCTTTTACATGTAAACACCATATCCTGAACATAGACACAGAAAAAACACACATTTCTAAAGCATATGTCCTTTATAAGTTCTTAGACTCACAGGTTCTTGTACACATGAACACACACCTGTTGTCCTGACTGGATATCTGCCCAGCAAGAAAGTTAGATGTTCAGTTTTTTTTGCTCCATCTGGCTGAATAAATTGCCACATCTGACAACTGGCAAGTGAGCAAAGACGCTTTCCCTCAGACTGCCGCTTTAAGAAAAGGACGTGGGAAATGAATGAACAGCTGCCGTATTTGAATTTCTTCCCTCGCGCGGCCTCCAGGTGAACTCTGTTTTCTCTGTCAGTCGCAGATGCAAACTGATCTGGAGGCGGGGCAGACGGAGGGAAAAACCGGGAAACGGGACGGAGAAGCTCAGCATGATGGACACCGGCACAAGTGTATCAGCAGAGACCACCGAAACGACGAATACCAACTCAGTATGAGCCCCACCGGTCTATGAACGGTGTAGAATAAAGAGGTCTAGTGATGCCAGGGAGCCGTAGGACGTCCCTGACAACCCGGGCCTGAAAGCAAGAAGCCCTCAGGATAAAAACGTCTCTGGCTGGGGCTTGAAAGCCGGGAGTTTGCTCCGATCCTTTTAAAGAAAAGTTTCCTTTGCTCTCCTGGATTTATGAGGAGCTCAAGCTCCACGGGCTGCACGTGCCACCAGCAGGCAGGCTTTCTGTTTTTTTACTCGCTGGGGAGTAACAGATGAGCGCGACCCGCCGCTGAGCGCTCGGCACCAAATGACACGTTGCCGTGTTGGAAAAAGCCGTGACAGCAGCTGGCGGCCGGCGATAACAGGCCATCAGGCCGGCCTGAGATTGGCTCGTAATGGAGATACATTCACTCTGTCAAACAAGAGGAGAGGATGTTACCAAGCAGTCAGCCTGCCTGTTTCCTTTCGAGTTGTGTTGAATGCTCCTGTTAGCCCGATTCTTTAGTTGGAAACCTGAGAATAGACCACAGTAGATCAAAAGTATAAAAAAAAGACATTTATTGGGTCACAGTTAAGTGTATGAGCTGGGCTCTAACAGACTAAAACCTCTCTCTGGGTCTCAGTGGGCAAAGAGCCCTGAGATCTGGGTGATGGGCATTATCTCCTGGGCTCGATCCACCTCCTCAAAGGAGGACTGGACACAACCAAGTCCTATTGGCCAGTTAGCTCTGGCCATGAACAGGCCAGGTCCTAATTCATGCAGATGTCTTAGGAATGTGGTAACAAATGTTGTGTTTGTGTTGATCTAAAGGTGGATCTAATGCAACAGAGAAAGAAAAAGAGAGAAAAGAGAGTCTGTGGACACAGCCAGAGACTTTAAAACAAAATATAGTTAGACGAAGAATTAAACAATCAGTAATTTACATAGATCGTGTGATAGCATACAATGCTAAAGTGAGTAATTCTAACCAAATTCTAACACTCGCTTTGCCTTAGTGTCAGTTCACATTATTGTACTCCTGCTCTACACAAACAGTCGTCATCTCTTGCTACACAGAACGATGTTACTCACATTGCCACTGCGAGAAGAGCCCCACTTGAACTAAAAGTCTCCGGCTGACCGGAGGCCTGACGGACTACAAGGAGGACCTGTGCCGAGGGCTTTTCGATCTGTATATTTGGAACTGAGCCGCCTCCGAGCCACAGCTTCAGAACAGCTGAGCCTGTGTGTGGAGGATGAAAGCGGCCCTCTGTATGAGACGGTGTCCAGGCTGTTAACCATTTACGGCATCCCCAAATCCATCAACTCACAGTCGGTTAATTCTCCTCCGCTGTTTAGATTACTTGTCAATAAACACGACGAGTACTGTGCATTTATGTTGATCTTAATTATCTGCATGTGTTTGTGGAGCTTCTAATTTCAGAAAAGTTTGTCTCGTCTGTTGGAAAAAGCTTATGCAAAAAACTCCAGAGGGAGCTGAATCAGGGAGAAAGAGACGGGGAAACATTTGCTCGTGTATTTCAACCATTTCACTGATTTCGCTGAACTGGGTTTTGTCGGATTTGGAGGAGGATCAAACAGACTTCTAATCTACGACGTCGATCTCTGTCAAAATTGCCAAAACCGCAGACTGGAAGCTTTCATCTGTCAGTTTGGAGGTTGACGCGCAGACTTGTGACCCCGTTTCAGGGCGAGGGAGCGCCGCAATAAGTGAAACTACAATACGCCTGATAAATATTCATGTGTTTACACACTATAAATAATTTCTCACGCCGGGAGAGGTTTAAGTCAGTTTGCTGTGGCGTGTTCCTCACTGTCACACTCCGTAATGCGTCCTGGTGGTGATGGGCCGCTGACATTGGGAGATTTTTATGGGACATCTGTGCATAAATCTGCTGGCATCTCCATCACCAGGAGAAAAAAATCCGCAGACTTAGTGGGTAATTAAACAAAAGATGACTTGTCTTCAGATCATTTTCTTGTTCCTGTGGATGCAGCATCTCTTAAAGGTCACACACTTTGGCTAAAAGTTTTTCTCTAGAATGTTCTGGGGAAAAACAGAGGCTTTTTCTCGGAAATGTTACTGCAACCAATCAATGATTTCACAAGAGGGCCGACTTGCGATTCCCAGGGATCAATTTTCCTGGACGGTGCATGCTTTTGATCCAGGGGCCAGCAGGCCGAAACTCACCGTGAAACTGTGGTTTCAGGTTAAAAAAAAAAAACACACGGAGATCAGGGTAATTAGATTCAACAGCTCGGTGGTGTTGTTGTGTTGCTATGCGACAGTAACACCGGCGCTCAGCGCGCGCTGAAATATTACTGTGACACCGGGCTCATAACACATTATTGTGTGACATATTGGGCATGATCCTGACAGCTGTAAAAGCTTATCGTCAACACCAGCATTGTTTATCACGTTGATTACCCAACTTCTTGTATTTTCTGTTGCATGATCCTTTTAAACAACTGTCTTGAAGTCAAGATACAAGGATTGCATCCAGAGTTTGGCTTCATTGTGATTACTCTGTTTGCAGAACTTGTTTTTTTATAAGAATGCTCAGAAGGCTCCAAATGAACCACCGTGTCCAGTGGAAATCGAATTGAATTTAAAGCTCTGAGAACGAACCATCGAACCATCAACTCTCTCTGGGTCTCAGTGGGCAAAGAGCCCTGAGATCTGGGTGATGGGCATTATCTCCTGGGCTCCATCCGCCTCCTCAAAGGAGGACTGGACACAACCAAGTCCTATTGGCCAGTTACCTCTGGGCAGGAACAGGCCAGGTCCTAATTCATGCAGATGACATTGGAATGTGGTAACAAATGTTGTGTGTTTGTGTTGACCTAAAGGTGGATCTAATGCAACAGAAACAGAAAAAGAGCCAGAGACTTTAACACAAAATATAGTTATAAAAGAAAATAAAACAATCAGTAATTTACATAGATCATGTGATAGCATACAATGCTAAAGTGAATAATTATAGCCAAATTCTAATACATCACAGAATCATCTGTTGTCCATCAGAGATGTTCAGTAACGAAGTAGAACTACTTAAGTACTGTACTTTTAAGTACCAAAATGCAGTATCTGTACTTTATTGGAGTAGATATTTTTCTCACTACTTTTACTTTTACTCCACTACATATTTTTGATTAATTCAATACTTTTACTCCGATCGTTTTTTCACGGGCTGAATCGTTACTCGTTACTTATGTGTCAACGTAATGTGTTCAGATTTTGGGCGTCAGGGTGTCTGTCTATCACCACGGTCAGTTCGGTCCAGTCTATTCTTGGCTCTGTTTCCACTGACATTGTTGGGAACGTTGACCTGGTCACAGCTGGCCTGAGAGGTAAATGTCCATCTGTTCCCCTCTGGCATGTGTGGGAACGGTGAATGCAGCCAAACAGCTGGGAGATAATACAGCCGCATACCTTCCAGCCACATGGGAAAAGGACGTAAAAAAACCAAAAACAAATGCCATCCCACTATAGCCGACTCCTATTCGCTTATGTAGTTTGTGTATGTGCCACTGGAGGTCAGCAGAACATAAAAGCCCTTTAAAGTACTTAAAAATTACATTTGAGCTCAACTTGAGTTGGTATATATACGCAGTTTTTTTAAATACTCACTCTGTACTGTTTTACTTTATTTCCATTATACACTGCTTTTTGTTCGGGGTCACACATTTTTATTTTTTTGTGAACAACTTTTTTAAATAATTTTAAAGAGAAACAGATACAGTAGTCCGATAAAGGTAAAAGGGTATATTACAACCTAATACAACAGAAAGGAACATATAGAAACAAAAAAAAAGAAGAAAAAAAAAAGAAAAAAAAAGAAAAGAAAAGAAAAAAAATGTATTTAAATAAAATAAAATCAATAAAACAGGCGACAACCCCCCCCCCCACCCCCCAGTTTGGATCTCTAACAGAACTCTTACAGGACCTAAGAGACCATATTCCAAAAACATATGTAAACAAAAATGGGTCACACATTTTTCTTAACAAATATATTTAGCTTATCAGGAAAAAGGTTCAGCTTTCAGCTGAAGACTTGGTGGATCTCTGCGTTATCTACAGTCTGGAGGACAAAAGGAGAAGTGGCAGACCTGAAAAGCCATCAGCGGCAGATAAGGAGGAGCTGAAATTAAAACGGAGCCATCCGGACAGAAAAAAAAACCACATCGGACATCCGAAACTGTTTGAATCTGGAGTCGATCTATCTACTGCTCAGTCATTCTGTCATTAAAGCAGGAATAAAAGCTGAGCCATGCCAAACAACAAGCCTTAAATTTAGAAGCAGGGATGAATCATATATCTCTTCTTCTGGCCTGGGAAAGCTCTGTGGCCCCCCGGGGGGAGATTGGCAAGTGTTACTGGTGAAGGGGAGTGTGTGGGGGGGGGGTCTCTGGCTACTCCTCCAGGACCTGAGATCTATGCATGAAGACTGTTTGAGCAATTAAAAGAAAGCCAGTCTGTAGGTTAAAGTGTTTTTCTGAACATATGCAATCAAATAAGGGGCCACATTTACCTCCATTTTCTTCCCCTTGAGTGATTAAACACATCATTAAATAGAAGATTTACCTCTCTTTTAAGTCAGGAAACATAAGGAATCTTTGACTTTAAATATGATAACAATATTTATTGTTAAAAATAGTTCTACCTCTATCTATACGTAAATATATTTGTATGCCTGCATCACATTTAGTTTAAAGGTTATCTTTTGCCGGCGATAGCTAAAGGAAATGCAAATAATAAGCTTCATGTGACCCAAATCCCTTGCTGGAAAACCAACATTTTACAGAGCTTAAGTTGAGAAAAAGTCAGATATTTCTCTCCCACGCACACATCCAGCTGTCATCTGCAGATAACCTGCAAAAGTTCAGCCAACCACAAGGCGCAATGGCGGGAATCTGTGATTGAAGTCCATAGAGATTTTTTATCCTGCCTCCAAACTTTCTACTGGTTTTTCTCACAATCTAATGCACATATTGAAGGTTGTGGGCCCTGGAAGCAAAGGGATAAAGTCGGTAAAGGAATGTCACCGCCGCTCCGTTTTTCTGTTTTATGCATTAGATGCCAAACAAACAAGAAAGATAATCCTGTCCTGCTGACTTTATTGATAATAAATGGGATTTGCTTTCTTTTCTCATTCATGTGTTGCCACCGGTGGCGTTTCATTTTTCGCCCACGTGAGCGAAGCAGTTCAATCAAATCCGACTACAGCAGGAAGGCTGTTGGAAAACTGCCTCCACAAACATTAGACGTCGACTCCAAACCCAAATATAGAACAGAAGAACTGACATCTGTGTCTTACTGAATTCCAACTTTAATTATAGGTGACGAAACGTGAACGTCAGCCGCAGATATTCCACCCGCCCACATTCAACTATTATTTACTTTCAGCTGAAAATCCTCCTGAGGAATTTTTTTTTTTTGGACGTCTCCGCAGACAACCTGAATAATTACACGGTCCAAAGTTCAATTGGAGTAACTCATCCAGCCTCGAAATCGTCGGATTTTTTTTTTGAGCCGTGAATCACTTTTCCTGCAGCTGTGTGGGTAATTTTTACTGATACTCACGCATCAGATCAAGCCCCCCGCTGACAGAAACGCCGAGCATTGTCAGGCAGAGACGAGCAAATGAGAACACGCACTAAACACAACCAGCATCTACCCCAAAAAAAAGCGAACGCCTGTGTTACGTCCCCTGTCCCACCAATGGAAGGGAGGAGAGAACTTAGCACCCTTAATAAAGCCTTTGTAAAGTGAAAAAATAAGGTTTATTGGTCTCCCAAAAGACAAAGAAGGCTCAACAACTGTGGGGGGAGAAGGGGGCCATTAGGTTGTGCCAAATCAAAGAAATCAGCAAAACAAAACAGGGCCTAACTAACAGTATATACCTTTGAAAGAAAGCAAAATACATGTAACGCCTGTTTAACCAAACGCGGGACCTTTTCCTGGGCCTGGAGACTCTGGAGCCACACACAGAGACAACCAACCGCTCTCAATCAGTGTAGCCTGATTTTGTATGGTGGGAGAAAAAAGGGCTAAATCCACAAAAAATAAAGTTTCTCTGACTCTGAGGCAACACTGCTGACCACCACACTAAAAATCAAAGGGGTAATCCTTAAAGGCATCCTTAAAGGCATCCGAAAAACAAGCCAGAAAGTTAAAGCCTTACATGCTTATTGGCTTTTCCCGGAGCTGCAATCTTAAAACCTAAAGGTTGCATGTTTGAGATTCTTTGGGTGGGTTTAAATGTTAGTTGTCATTGTAATATTGTACATGAAGATTTCAAATAATCCAAATGAATCCAGAAATAGACATCTTGTTTTTCTTCTTTTCAGTGTCAGATCGTTTCATTTTTTCTCACTTGGTGTTTCAAAGAAACCGAAGAATGTATTTAAAATGCTCCAAGGCATACATTTGCTTTATTTTCTTTATTCTTTTTTTTTTTAGATGTTGTTTTTCTTTCATTCTCTGAACCGTTTTTGGAGCTCCATTGTGTTACACAATCAGAGAAATGAGTGTGCCCAGGCATATAATTCACAGCAAAAAAGAATAATTGCTCGGCTGTACATTAACAGAGATGAATCATAACCTGGGAAAAGGGAATAATGTGTTCTGCTTTTTGAAAAATGAGAGCAGGCAAAGAATTAAGACTGGTACCCTCATTTAAGTCTACAACACCAGCCCTGAATTGATTTCATCTTGCTCCACGAAACCATGAAAAATTCCATTAATTCATAATTATATATAAACATCTGTACTTTCTTGTTAAGTGTTTATTGAAAAAAAACTATATTCCAAAGCTGGGTAGGTAATTATTTTGGATTTAATTGGTACGCTCAATAAGCAGGTTCGGGGCTGTAATCACCTTTATCTAATCCTATAGAAAATATTGAATTTTCAGGCCCATTTACAGGTTTAAAAAGCCGGTAATGGATAAAGGCTGTGGTTCCATGTAATGAAAAAAGTTTAACGATGTTTTTATCTTCCATCCATAGAACTTCTAACACTTTGTGACGTCGTGATGCTCAGTGGGTTTCTATAAACCACTGGTGTCTTTTTCCACTAATGACCACAGAAAAAATATTTTTCTGTGCTTCACAAAATGTCCCAGATGGAATATATCCTCGTTAGTTTACTGTCCTCCGCAGAGGAAAGTGAGGCCCCCACCTCTGAAGACCAAATGCCTTTTTTTTTTTTTTACTTAACAGTCACATTGGTGAAATTTGGGAAGTCTGAACCTTTGTGAGAAACATCTTAACAGAGCTGAGTCCTTTTTTTTGTTTTCGCTTAGTTTCATTATGCAAAAACATCTAATTAACACTAATATTTATTTGTATGGTACTGTCATGTATTAATAGTTAAAAGCTAAAAAAATATGTGCAGAAATGAATAAAATATGGTCCAACTGACATGAAAAAACATATAAGCTCCTATAAAAAATTCAAGACCCTAGAAGCCCTTAAAGACCTTGCATTTAATCTCATCTTTGCATGCTATATCCAACTAATGATGGTAGTTAAATATCCCCGGTATCTTTAAACTTAATCACAGCTTTATTTTCTATTTATGGCCCTTATCTACCCCAGAGATAAACTGGTGCCCACGTTTGAATTGTTTCCGGTTACGCTTTACGGCTCAGAATTTGCGGAGATAACTGGTCTATATTTTTTATTGTTACCTTATTCACACAACCAGATTAACCTCCTGACTCATTAGAGGTGGAGAGCTAGCTTTGTGGAACAATCAAACTAAAAGGAACCAGACTAATCCAGCCACTTCATTAGCAAATCTAGAAGAGAATCTATTTTTCCCAGATGCTTTTCCAGATGTGACAACAAGCCATTCTTCACTGTCTTTCTGTCCATTTTGGGGCAGAAAATATGGAGTTTTGGGGTCTTCTTCACGTGTTGCTTCATCTTTCTTTGATGGAGTTTTGGATTTTTAGATAGCTCAAGGAACTATATGATAAACGATTATTTCTGGAAGCCATTCTGAGCCCACATAAATGCCCGAGATCCAACGAGATCCAATCAATTTGGAATGAAGAAGCAAAAGTTTCAAAGCATCGATGATTTAACAGCAGAGAGGATTATTCTGTTAGTGGACCAGAGTCTATTTCTGAGAGACTTTGGCTCCCTAAGGTGCTTTTGAAAAAGAAAACTCAAACAAGTTCCTGATTGCAATTGGTTCCTATTGTTCTTTAGCTTTCTATTTTTCACTCCTTTCAATCTTCCAAGATGTTTTCTGACCATAAAATCAAAGGAAAAAGAAGAATTAGGAGGGAAATTTGACATTCTCTTGTCCCTCCATGGAAATATTTGTTTTCAAATGCATCAACTTCTGTTTTTCTTTGTTTTGTTGTGTTTTTCCAAACATTATTTTGCATCATCAACCTTTTTTTTTTTATATTCTGTGCTATATAGAAGGTTATTTGTAATAAGATCAGGACATAAAAGTGCACATACAGACGGATGTTCATGTAACCTTTAATCTGTAAATGTTCATTCAAACTGATTTTCATTGCCATCCCTGGACAATACAATTGTTTTTTTGGAGAATATCTAAAAAAATCTTGGACTTGAGATTTTATCTGATAATCTTTGGTCGTCACTGATTGATTTTCATCCTCATCAAAACATTTTCAGCAGTTTCTCTGTTTTGAAAGATGAAATTCTTCTTTCTTTTTTAAAACCAAGCCCTTCTAAGCCTTTCTGTCCAGTCAGTGTCTCATTTCCTTCAAACTTGTCGAGCAAAACTCCAAACAAACTCACACAAATGACAGAAATCCGTTAGACTGTTGCAGCTTTGAATTGCAAAAAAATAAAAAATAAGCCAACGTACACCAGTTGAAATGAAACAATGTGGTAACTCTTGTGGGATTTGACAGCTTTGCCTTTGTGGGGAAATAATAAAACAACCTCTTTCCAGTTCTGTGAACAGGGGACTTAGAAGCCTTGCCTCCACAGAGGGATAATTTGCAAATACGTCCAGCATTTGACTGAAATTCAGATGAATCCATCCTCGGTTCTCATTTAAATGCATAGAAAATACAACGTACATTTCTCTTTTGAATGCATTGACATTGATATAGGCCTAATTTTCCTCAGGCTGCTTGCACAAACTGGGCTGATTGACAGTGCCAGTTGAGTCAATAAAAAGGCTCCTTTAGGTTTTGAGTTGGGATTAAATGAAAAAGCTTCTACCGGCTGACACCCTGTTACCTGAGACGTACAACTCAAAGGCTTTCTCCCGCAGATGTGTGTGAATTGGCCATTGTGGGACTTAGACTACAGAGAGAGAGAGAGAGAGAGAGAGAGAGAGGGGGGAAAAAGAGAGCGTGCCTGGAGAAATGTTTCAGTTCGTTAACGTTGAAGAAAACCGGGGAGAGGGAAACGACTCAGCGTGAAATTGCGTAATAAATGTTCCACCGTGATATGGTTTCGATTTAGTGGCTTCCGTGGACGTGAGATTAGATGAAAAACGATGTTTTTTGTGGTCCGGTGGTGTTGTTTTTTTTTATCAGGACCAAGGACAGCGGCAGAGTGCGCCGGGGCGCTGCGTCAGGACGCGCGTGTCGCGTTTGGAGAGCTGAGACGCACTCAGGAATCCGCACATCAACCTGAGGATCGGCTCTGGGAAACACTCAGGGGGCTTCAAATAGTTTGATTTGCAGACACAGAACGGTGTGTTTTCACCTTTTTAGATACGAGTTTTGCGCACGAACCCTGAACCCAGACGGATTTTTTCTGCTCCGAGCAGAGGATGATCTGGACCCGGGCATGACTTTGACAAAACATTCTCGAGGATAGACGGTGAAAATGTCCGGAGAAGTGGTCGAATACAACGAGGAGAGCTCCACGCGGACGCTCCGCGATGCGTTTTTCAACTCCAGCTGCGTCCCCAACGCGACCAACTGCTCCCGCGGCGACTTCCCCATGTCGGACTTTGGGAAAGCGGAATTTTCTGGAGACGGCGCGGCCGCTGTCCGGATCACCATTTCGGTCATCTACTCCCTGGTCTGCGCGCTGGGTCTGGTGGGGAACCTGCTGGTGCTGTACCTCATGAAGTCCAAACACGCGTGGAGGAAGTCCTCCATCAACCTCTTCGTGACCAGTCTGGCCGTGACGGACTTCCAGTTCGTGCTGACCCTGCCCTTCTGGGCGGTGGAGAACGCGCTGGACTTCGCGTGGCCCTTCGGCAAGGCCATGTGCAAGATCGTGTCCTACGTGACGGCCATGAACATGTACGCCAGCGTGTTCTTCCTCACGGCCATGAGCGTGGCGCGCTACTTCTCCCTGGCCTCGGCGCTCAGGGGCCGGCGGCGGCTGCGCGCGCGCTACTGCTGCCGCTCCGCGCGCGCCGGCTCGCTCCTCGTCTGGATCGCGGCGGTGCTCGCGGCCCTGCCGCACGCGGTCTTCTCCACCACGGCCACCGTGTCCGGGGAGGACCTGTGCCTGGTCAAGTTCCCGGAGACCAACGCCACGGCGCAGTTCTGGCTCGGCCTCTACCACTCGCAAAAGGTCCTGCTGGGTTTCGTGTTGCCCCTGGCGATCATCTCCGCGTGCTACCTGCTCCTCCTGCGCTTCATCACCTCCAAGAACATCAACACCTCCAGCGCCAAGCGCCGCGCCAAGGTGACGAGGTCCGTGACCATCGTGGTGCTGTCCTTCTTCCTCTGCTGGCTGCCCAACCAGGCGCTGACCGCCTGGGGCATCCTGGTGAAGCTCAACGTGGTCCACTTCACCTACGAGTACTACACCATGCAGGTGTACGTGTTCCCGGTGTCCGTGTGCCTGGCGCACTCCAACAGCTGCCTCAACCCCATCCTGTACTGCCTGATGAGGCGCGAGTTCCGAAAGGCGCTGAGGAGCCTGTTCTGGCGCATGGCCTCCCCCACGCTGACCACCATCCGGCCCATCACGGCCTCCACCAAGCCCGAGGCGGACGAGCAGGGCCAGGTTCTGGTGCCCGGGAGCGCGTCGGCGGCCCCCGGCGTGGCGTTTTTCCCCCCGGGGACCGTGGTGTACAACGACAGAAGAGACCTGCCCCAAAACAGCACGTAGTTCCAGTGTTCAGGTTCTGCGTTCACATGCATTCCCTGTTCATTTCTGCACTTTTTTTCTCTGCATGTTGCCAGAAAGATTCGATTTTTTACCCCAAAGGCGAGAAAAACTGTCGTTGTGACTCATTACTCTCCAACAGAAACGTCAGCTGTGGTCTCACCATGTTTTTTTCCTTCTTTTAAAAAAAAAAAACTTTCTATCACCTCAAGAGGAAACTGAGTGCATTTAATTTGTTCATCAGAAAAAATGAGGCCATATTTTGAATGTACTGTTGTTCAAATACGTCAAAGTGCTTAATTAAACAGTGAGACACTTATTGGTCATTCTCTCATTTACCCCCAAAATGTTTTAATCAAATTAAATGTTGAAATTAAGAAAACTGAGTCTACTCCCTCTTGAAAAAAGCTCAGATGGAGCAGTTCAGTGTGAAGTATTCTCAAAGGAAATCTTATACAAATGTGAACAATTCAGATGGGATTTTAAAAAAAGAAAAGAATTGGGCACCAGTCATGTTAATTCCTCCGAAATGCTTGAGTGGTTCTACCTAAATGAATCCTGTCCTTTGAATATCAGGAGTCAGTCGTGAGATGGTGTGGATCAGTTTTAATTTCCTGGTGTAGAAAAGTCCCTTGTTTGCTTTTCAAACGGAGAAAGATAAGTGACTGATGAGTTATCAGACCTGGACATTGTGGTGATGTCATGCACTCAGAAAATGGATCCAAATGTGGGTTTGTGTACTGTATAACAATAACCAGTGAAAGTTATGGAACACATTCACATTTGTCTCTCATTAATTGACGGTTGAAGAAAAACAAAGAGCAGAAAATTGTATATGCAGCAGCAAATATATGCTGTCATGTTTAATGATATAGAAGGTTTGCATCCATCTTCTTAGACTCACTTAATTAAGGCCCAGCATATCAAAGTGTGATACACTGATTCCTGAGACAGATTGCATCTTTAAATAGTCAAACCTTTTTTTTTTTTAAATACCCTGATAAAATAAATAAATACATATGTATATATATATATATAAAATGTTGAATAAAGCAGATTTCAAAACGAACATTCTATTTGTTTATATTCTACATTTAGTTAAAAAATAAACAAACAAAGCCTTGAAAAATCATTTATTTTCCTTTTTTTTCAGTTTTTACTCAGGTTTTATAGGGTTAAAGCAATTGAGAATTAAAAATGATTTTTAATTCACAGCAGTGAGTCTGGTTGCTTTGGGAAGAACTGTGGATTCAGTCATCTCCATGGACTTTTCCTTTCTATCGTTCTTTGTTTGATTAAACAACATCCATGTGCAAAAAAAAGTGACTTTTAATAAGGAAGAGCAAACTTAATATTGACCTAGTGTTAAGACGACAGGTCCAGCTCATGAGGGAGTTCTGAGCCACCACTTTTACAGGAGTTCCCTTATCAGTGGCACAAATAGAATTTAATTATCCAGATCCCCAAAAAAATGGCTTTAATTCATCCATGCTGTCGTCAGTTAAAAGGGAATTTGCTGAAACTCCTTAATTCTTTCTTTGCTCTGTGTCCTGGAACTGGGCTATAAATAACTACCCCTGAGAAAAACTACTTGTGGAGTATCTCGCTAAGCAGCAGAGAAGCAACAGGACCGTTTCTAACATGGGGAAAATCTACGAGATAAAAGGCTAATGGCCTCCGGAGCTGACTGATAAATTAGTAAACCGGAGCGACCGGTCTTGTGGGTGTTGGATGTGGCCACTGGTGTTTGATGTGCCGATAAAGTCTCCTTCCAGGTCAGAAAAACAGCACGAATAGAACTGGGAATTGCTAATACTGCCAATTATCTACAACAGTGAAGAAATTTGGCCGTATAATGAGTTGCTGTTACTTCAAAACAGATTCAGGAATTCTAGATTTTAAAAGGATGCTTTTTTTTATTTTAAACCAATTGTCCTTTCAACCACATTTCTTTGACAAACAAAAGGCCCCCAAAAAAAGGTGGCAGATTAATGCTGATGAATCGGTAAAAGATGGAGAAATCCTGCCACACGGACTGAAGGACAGTTTCAGAGGCTGCGCGGGGCTGACAACAGGCTTTGAGATGGGAGAAAGCCACTGATCTGTCATTTCAAACAGCCTTGAGCCTGAATAATGAGGGACAGAGTCGGAGAACTTCACTGCAATGTATCAAGAAAAACTTTCATGTAAAGACTGATGGACAAACAAACAAGGGCTCCCACATATTTCATCTTGCCATGGTCATCCATCTATC